AATAAATGCTGGCAGCAAATGTTTCTTGCACATCACTAGCAGAAACTACCTCTGCTGAAGAGTGCAGCAGAAAGTTAATTCCATAGCCCACCTTCCCCAAATCACAGTTATTAAATCTGATGGTCCACAAATCAACCTCTGATCTGATCGTGCAGAGAGCAGGGCTATTATGCTCCAAAAGGAGCAAGAAGTTGACCTTTATCTGAAAAACTGCAACTAGCAACTGAAAACATAACCTCTGACAGCTTGTTGTTTCTGAACAGGGCCAAGGGAGGAGAGGCAGATTCTGCAAAAATTTACGAGTAGGGGTGATTTATACATCCTTCATATTCAGGATGAAGGACTACTGTGAAGAGAAATGCAAAAAGTGGGAGCAAGGCTAATTGAAACTCTTAGGATAACAAAGCTGGCATCTTGTAGGGCCCTACAGTGGGGCTGTGGAAGGGACTAAAACAAAGAGATGATCACCATATTGGAAGAGAAGAAAAGGGGAGAGGTGACAGTTACACAGTAGTAATATTGTGAATCTATTTCACAGAATAACTTTAGAGAGAAAGCAACAAACTTGTCCAATTCTTCAGCATATCTATACCAACATGGACAGAAATGTTTTAGAAGTAGAGAGAGCTAGAAATTATGGTAAGATCCCACAATCAAATTTATTTCTAGACACAAAGTTGTTCCTTACACTTCAAAGGCAGTTTGCAGAGGAGAGAGAGTACAGGGGAACAGACAGCGAACCATGAAGACTTTTCCACTGCCAACTGTCTCACTTGTATGAAAATCAGTATTTAAATTGGAAAAACAGAATCTACTTCTTTATGCATTGAAGATACTCACTCCATCTGATTTACCATCATCTGATGGAGATGCTCTGAGTGAAGGGACGCATTATGAAGAAATGCATTCTACTAGGAAAGGCTTGAGTTTGAAATTAAATCCTCTGCAAAACTTTTCAAGAAGTATTTACCTTCACTGAAGTCTTTTCATGGCCCTGCTTATTTCTACTTTAAACTTCTCATTTATTGTACTTTAAGCCCCATCAGTGAATGTAAATGGGGTTTCACTATACGTTTAGTGCATTCAAGCATTCTTTGTTACAGTTCCCACCCTGCCGCATTATGTGAGCTCTGCCACGGAAGTCCAGCAGTCGGTTTGTTTTCTGCTATTAATAAAAGAACCTACTTTTCCCCACTTCTTTGAAGAAGTTGAAAGGGCTACATGTTAGAGGGGGAGGTGGTGGGGAACAGACTGTGGTGTAATCCCCAAACGCAAATGCTGTCTAGATTAGAAACCTCCCTGAAGAAAATTTACAAATGCTAAGACTGTGCTTTTTGTGTGATGAACACTAGAGCAATAACTTAGCCACATACTGGGTTCTGCCTAATGCTTAAGGAGCCTACTAGGTGAAAGGAATTAAATGAAAAAAAAAATCTTCTAGTTGGCACTGTGCCCATGCCATCCAACCCTTTCGGTATCCCCTGACTTACTCATGCAACTATTTTCATTTTTTCATATGTATTTCATCACTGAGGTAACTTAATATAATACTTGGGAATCTGTTAAAATAATAATAACAAACACACTAATGGGATTTACACACTGCCAGTGTTTTTACATAGTCCGGGAAAAGCTTAATTAAAGGGGTGGGACGTGTCTCTGCTGAATAGCTGTTTTTCCTTCATACCTTCCCATGCATGACACGCACACATCCAAGAAAAGAAGTTGGGGGTGGTGGTGGTGGAAGAAAACCACCCAAAACCAAAACCAAAATTACCAGCCCTAAACTACTCAGCACAACCTTGTTGATTTGCTTGGCCATTTAAATAAATGAATATGCTCCTTGTAGAGAATCACAGCCCCGGTGCAACAGCTAACGAGTAAAAGGAAAGTACAGAATATTATCTGCCTTTTTCCCTATAGGATATTCATAGTGTTCAAAGTATCATTACCGTATCTAGTTTATCACACAATTACAACTAATCCTTAACTCCTAAATAAGTAGGAACAGGCATAAAAATTGCATTTCTGAAAGCCTACTAGATAAACTTTAGTCTATAATCAACTGGATGATTCTATGATTAATTTTAAATCCTCCTTAATAGGTTAAAGACGTTTATAAAGATGAAATAATTTTATCCGTGTTGATCTCATTAATCTTACATTCTCTTAGTCTCCAAGGCTTCCATATTCCATCCACTTGTTGCTACTCAGACACTGCAATTAAAGCATAGCTTTGCACATCAGTCAATAGTGCTGGACTCACCGTGTAAGAATAACTCAAGTGTTGCCAAGGAATGGAACGACGTAGCATCCAACAAACTCTGAAGATGCCTATTGTAATCATCAAACAATGAAAAACTTTAACAAGGTGATGAATGTCTCAGATATGTTGTTTGGACAAAAATACTTAAAATGAACATAATAAAATAAACCAACTTATAATCGAGCGATACATTTTCAGTTAGCACTTTTATAGTATTCCAGACATTTTTTCCCATTGTCTGTATCTATCTGACTACCTAGCTAGTTATAGACCTCAGGCATTCTTTAATTCTGTTTTTTCTTGGTAGGCTACAGTTGGTCCCTAAGAGGAGATGACTGCTTTTCAGTGTGAAATTATGTACCCACTCAGGAATTGAGCCTAATCATCACACGGGTAAATCAAAATGATGGCTACATTTACTGCCTGCAGAATTTTCTTCTGCACTGCATATTAACACACTGAAAATGTTGTGTTAGCTTATTGTGAACGTGCCGATTTTCATTACCCATGGAAAGGCAGAACATCTTCTGTTAAACTTCATTGACATTTTTCATCAAATGAACAGAGCAGTGCCCCGAAATGTGATAATTGTAGATTCTTGTTATACAACTTTGAGTAAAATATTCTTTCCTCTAATTCCACCAGTAATTAACTTGGAGTGGAATTCCCTTGACTCATGTAACAGTCTTCAGCACTGTATTAATGGATCCGAGACTTTATGTGGTTTGAAAAAGAATCCTGCCCCATACATGTAATATTATATTAAGGTGCTAAAGACTTTCAGGTTAATGAAAAGAATTGATCAAATCACTGCATCTTGAGCTATAAGCATTTTTTTAAAATTGTATTGTTTGGGTTAAATATGAAATAGTATCTTGTTGAAACATAAAATGCTTCCAAAATGAAGCTCTGGAAAATTGTTGCATCTCCCATGAAGACTAAAAATTAAAGTAGACAATTATCATAATAATAACTCAATTGTACATGTCAGACAAAAGAGAAGCTAATACTTCCCTCTGCTTTTTGACTGATGTTTTTGTTGGGCTGTAGCTAAACAGCACTTTAAGTTGACAGTAAATTAGCAAACAATATGAGAGAGGAAAAAAGAAAAAAAATCATGTAGGGGTTAAGATGTTTATGTAAAACAGTGATTTTCCTTTTTAAAATTAAAACGTACAAATAAGCTGGTGTCAGGGACTAGGTGATCCTTCATTTCCACCGCATTGAGCAGGCTCACATCAGCAGCAGACAGCCGTTAATATATGCGTCTGGCTCAGTCTGGTCTACCAACTAGGAATTCATCGAATTGTTAATATCATTCCTTTTTTGTATGCACCACACATCATTTTCACTCTCTCTCTCTCTCTCTCTTCCTCCCCCTTTGCAAGAGCTTGTGTTTTGGTTTTTTGTTTTTGTTGTAGCACAAGCTGATTACTCTGAAATCACATATTAAATAGCATTTAAATGCATTTTGCACTGAAACAACATCAAGTCATATAGAAATGAGAGTATATTGAAATTCTGTACATATATCTAAGCATAGCATATTGAAGATGATGCTTTCTATTTATTTGTGCTAATAGAGACAGCTTTCATATACTGTCACAGGGTAAATAAGACTGTTTCCTATATGGTGTCTGTAGGCATTGTCACATAGCCCCAGGACTATATCTCAGTCTTGGTGGGAATTTTGCCCGAGTGGAGACCGTGATTCTCCCTCCCCTTCATCCACCTCTGCCCTACCTGTGTACCTGAGGTTGGCTTGGTTGTGTTGAGACTGGGGAAGAAGAGAGAGGAGGAAAAGAGGAAGGCAATGCACCAACTTTTTCATCTCTATGGCAAGGGGCAGCACTGAGTACAATGGGCAGAGCAGAGCCACTGGAGTCATCCCAGTTCAAGCAGTAATGCAGAGGCAGGACTGCATATTTACAGCTTTTTGCTGTAGCACCAAATACACTAGGTAGGGGTTTCTAATAATTCATTTTCTTCTCACTCTCAGTGCAGAGCAGAGCATAGTTGAAATCTTCAGAGTTTCACCTTCGCTGCACTCACAGTGTTAAATGCAAAGCGAATTCAGAGTGCTGAATGTGAACTACCCTCATTCAAGTAAATTTTGCCGATTGAAAAATAAATGCAACAAAAATCTTTAATATGCACAGACATGTGCACAGTATAGCTGATTAAATCTATAAGGATTTTTATTTTGATAAATACTATGCGTAATTTAAATTGCATATTGACATGTATATACCAACACGCAATATGGTTTTATCCCATTATGCAGCTTGAATGAACAGAATACCTGTTCAGCTGATCAGTATCTTAAATAATCTGTTTTCAGGATTGAAAACTGTTGTACAGAACACATGTCAATTGCTGCTGAAGGGCTTGAGGAGTGTAGCACCTAGCTGGGTGTGTTTGCCCTTCCTGTACACATTCAGATTGACTTCTCCAATACTGCCTAAACAGAAGTCAATGTTGAATATCATGTCTGTGTTAAAAAGTTACGTCTGTATCTAAATTTTTGCAAGTCGCTCTTTTGGGTGTTCTTAGCATGTGGGACTGACAGTTTACGAAGAAAAGAATTGCATATTTACAGGAACTGTATCATCATTGTAATTGCTAAGGCAATATTTTTATGACTATTTAAAGACTAATTATATCTTGAGCAACTTGAAAACTATGTACAGCGCACAGTTTCTGTCTCTTAAGAAAACAAGACAAGAAGAAAAAGTATTATACTAACAGATAAGAACCATTTATTTTAACAATAGTGTTGATGCTTACAATAAAACACAATTCCTCCCACGCAAGTGGAAAAAATATACTGCAGCCAAAATACCACTTCTGAAATGAACAAATAGTTTAGATGCCTGATCTGTGTGAAGTCTTTGTTTCAGTGAAGTCTGATGTATCAACAAGGTCTTGCAGCATCTTGGTTAGACACAGGAAACAGAGAAAAATTACTCAGAACTAAACCACCTATAAAATATTAAGAAATACAAATCATATTCTGTGTTGTAGATAGGAAGTTTGAGTTTAATGAACAGTGTGCTTATGAAATACCTCGTGTGCTTGTGAATCTTCTTATGCAAAGTCAGTGAAGTACTTAACACATGAGGGACAATCTAAAGCTCACACTGCTTTTTGTCAGAGGGGTGAAAAATGCAAAAAGTGATGGAGAAGCTAGAAGTTGGGTCTGGTACTTAGAGTACTGGTGGCTCACTTTAAGTTGAACAGGTACAAGAAAGTGATTCTGCGTGCAAAGTGATTTTAATGTTGTAGTACGATTTTTAAACCAATATTCCATCTCAGATTAAAATGTAAATTAAATGAGAGAATATTTTAAATGACATATTGTGTTTTCACTTGGACAAAGAAAAAAGATGGCAATTAACTACAAAATACTCTTTGTCCCATGTTACAGGAAAAGCTAAGCAACAGTTTTCCTGTAGACTGAAATCATTATTCAAACAATAGAATGAATGTTTTCTAGGCCTCAAACATCAGTGTTTTTGTTTTATGTTTTAAAAGTTAATGCTGCAACAGTCAGGATGACTCTATACTTTGTGGTAATTATCAGAATTTTCTATAATAGTAATAGTAATATTATGGTTGAAAGTCTTTTGTATATTTTAGTATCAGTTTTGAGAGGGGGGTTTTGTTGGTTTTGTTGTTTGTGCCTTTTTTTTTTAGGTGCAAACTGGTATTCAGATTAAATTTTAATTCTAAATGTTACATGGCATTTAGTTCAGTTTTCTAAACATATAAATATGTAACTTCCTAATGTTGCACAATGGATAACAGTTGTTTAGATTTTTTTTTTTCTTTTTTCTTTTAGGAACAGTTGTGTTGCTTAACATCTGAAATAGGTATCTTTTCCTTTTTACCCTTCGAGACAAGGAAAGCTCCTTTGGTTCTCTAAATTCTGCAGAGAAACAATCACAGTCCAAAGCTGCTGGTTCCCCTCCGCCTAGGTCCCAAGAGCCTGACTTGTGATTGTTGCTAAAAAACCTCACAAGTTAGGGTCTCAGGGACTAGGAAAAGTCCGATATGGTCCAGTAGAATTCGTCTTCCAATAAACTGAATTGCTTAGTAGTCATAATCGCTGTCAGCAAAACTTTCACTGCTATTGTTAAAAAAAAACCAAAAACACTCCCCCAAAAAACCCCTAAAAACAACATCCCCCTCAAATCAACAACCCCTCCTTCCCCCCAGATAAACAAACCACAGTTTCAAGTAGGGGGCAGAAAAGATCAAATAAGCAGGCAAGACACATACATACATTCAAACAATGTATCAGCTGACCGAACAGACTTTTCTGAGAGTATAGTCCTTAACTTTTGAAAAGAAAAAACAAAGAACACAGGAAAAAAATCTTCACTGCCACATCTTGCAAGCAGCCATATTATTATAATGCATCTGAGGGAAGCCTCTATAAACGGGTTAAAATCTGCTTCCAGCAGATTTGTACAGTAACAATTTTATTATATTTTCCTTAATGCCTGAAAGAAGGATTAAATGCTTGTCAAGGGGGTTCTAATTGAAATATTTCCCCATTATACTTTCAGTCCTACTGTTCAGGTGGGCCCTGGGTTGCAGAGTACTTTAAACCCATTCACGATGCAAGGATAACCTTTGGGCGTGTATTCACTTTTTGCCTCTTCCCCACGTTCAACATTTAATCCTTCTACAGACTGCTACAAAAAGCTTCTTCCTTTCCAATGGCAAAACTATACTTCACTCCATAAGCTGCAGAAAACATTGACATGCAGAGATTGTTGTCACTTGAACCACATTACTCAAAGCACACATAACTTTCAAATACTGTCGATACAGTAAGAAGAAATGCTCGGATTTCCCGAATAATTTGTTCTGAAGCCGAACACTTTTAATGGCACGACCACAATCCTGAATTACTTTTGCATTCACTCTCCTCCGATCTTTAGCCTTGTTTGCAGAACGAAAAAGAAAATTTCTACTTTAGGGACAAGATCCACCGTGGCTTTTTTTATTTTTTTTTTCTCTCCATCAGATCCCAGAGCAAAAGAAACAGCAGCCATAAAGGTCCTAGCCACTGGAGCAGAATCTGGCATAGAAAACTCAGTGCTCTTCGGGAAGCCGTTCAGCTTTAAAAAGGAAAAAAAAAAAAAAAAAAAGAGAAGAGGGGGGGAAGAATTAGAATCTCTGCTGGTCGAACAGGTGAATCATCCATTTACAAGAAAGCTGTACAGAGTGCTCTGCCGAAGAAAAGATTTGCCAGTGCCCCCCGCCCCCACCCCTGCCCTTCACCCTCCCCTCCACACTGATACTTCAGATTTCAGAACATTTTGGATTATTTAAAATATTATTTCAGCTGATGATATAATGCAACATTATATAAGAGCCGTTTCTTTGTCACTGTGCACCATTCAATCAGTTATGCCTCAGACACAAAATAGTTAAATGAAACAAAATATATATATATGAGAGAGATATATATGTATAGCAGCCCCTAGATTTCATTCAATTTCTTTTTTTAAAGCTGATCATGATTTAACAAACAATTTTGACCACAGCTTTCAAATCAATAATTAGAATGAAAAATCTCTCCCCTCTATAAATATGACATTAACATAATTATACCACCCCCATCACATAGACCCATCCTCTTTAGGGAATACATCTGATGCTCTGAAGATGGAAATCAGTCAGATTTTAGTTGCTCTCGAACGTACCTTTGCTTCTCACTGACTGACTGGCTTTACCTTCCATGCACACACACAGTCACCAGCACACACACGCACACACACACATACACATGCGCGCGCACATACACACACACACACACGCAGAAAAGGCAAGGCAAAGCAGCGGATGCTGACTCAGAGCAGTTGTGTGTGGAGGGGGTGGTATCGGCTGGTATTTTCACTGCACTCATCATTAACATTAACTCACTCTCTAGCATCCACCCTCTCTCAGACCTGCTGGACTGCAGTATTTGCATGACGCTGTCACTCTAGCCCTTGTGGGTCAGATGTTAGAAGAAAAAAAACAAAAAACAAAAAACCTCAAGGCTCTCATAAGGAATGCCTTCATTTCTTCCAAAGGGTCCCTCTTCTTATTTTTCCACCTTTCTACTTCCTCTGTTGCTGTGTCTCAGTTGTTTGACATCTTTCCGGAAGAAAATGTCTTGAGCTGCAATAAGCCAGTAGTCAGTCGGTCCTCCCCTCACCTCACACTCCTATTCCCACCCCCTTTTTTTCCTAATCAATAAGACAGATCTCCAAATGCAGTTGTGAAAACAGGCTCTGACACACAGACTTTCATCCTCGATCCTCTGCCTCAGGAATAGCAGGCAACCCAGGCTCACACGTGATGTAGAGAGAAATAATGCCAGTAATTCTTGAACAGTCTTAGGAGTTTATTCTACGCCTTCTTCATTTTTTCCTTTGCTCGAATAAATACCAGTGGGAAGGACATGCTAGCTCTCAAAAGCTACAAGGATTCACTTCTTCAGAAAATAATGAACCTTAAAAGACTAATATTAATCTTCCTCAAAATTAATGCTATCTTTCCCCCCCTTCATTGTGCTCTTTATAAGTAGGAATTGTCTCATAGCCAAAACCCTGCCAGGGTCTGAATCACCATTCACTGTGCTGAAACCGTGAGTTTCTGGACTTCAACTGGCATTTAACTGGACTAAGCAAATTTTTTTTTCTCTTTTCTTTTTTTATTTATTTTTTTAGACTTCTTAATTAAAATAAAATATAAAATAGAAGCTGCTTGAGTCAGAGAGAGCACTGCGAGAGAACAATGGCAATACACCCTCACCACCACACTGAGTCCTGAAAATGCATGTTTGAGCTACACTTGTGTATTTTTTCTGTATGGTATTTGCTCCGTGTTGGTAGAGAAGCCTGAACACATACACGTACACCAAATACACACACACACAGAAACTCAAGACGCGTACATAAAATACACAACACAAAACAAAGCACAAAGGCTGATAACTGAAACACAGGCACAAGTTGTCTGACAGGCTATGAAAATCCACAGAGTATAATTATCGTGTGCAGTTTTACCTTGTTCCTTTGTTCTTAAGGCAAGGGACTTTAATGACTTACGGTGTTGACAGTCTTTCGGCTTTTCCCTTTTTACGCCAACAGTATTTGGGAATTACTTTTCCAGACAATACCACACCACTGTGATTCGCGGTATAAAAATTATTTACCAGAGGGGGGGACAGGTGATACGCAATTCGCCAGCCAATTCTCAGAGCTGCCTGGTGCCGTAGAAGCACTCGGCGTAGCCGGGCGGGCAGGTCCCAGGATGCAGTGCTGCACCGCAGTCCCGGCTCAGGTAGCCAGGTTTTGGCAACCTTAAGGCAGCAGCAAAGGTGAAGGGCATCCACTTGCAGGAAAGGTCCAAAAGAAAACACCGCACAGCCCCGAAGTAAAGACAGAAAGCCAAAACGCCGGGGTACACGCCCTAAGCCCAGTTAGTACGCGCTTATGACCGGCCGTGGTGATGGCAATTAATTTCTTAGGAAAAGGACGGAGGAAAGTAGACAATTAGGAAACAGTTAAGTTTGTAATCTCAGTGAAAAGGGAGAGACGGAGACAGACACACACCCACAGACAGAGAGCGAGCGAAGAACACCAAGCATGAGACAACAAAAACAAGACCAAAATCAGATTTGGGAAACTGAAAAAATACAGGATTACAGCATTCAGCTTAGCATTTACTGAGGTATAAAAAAAAAAAAAAAAAATTACCACATGCACAGCATGGCTTAAAATACTTATTGCCATCAACAGTCTGTGACGGATGCCGGCTTCTTACTGCTATACGTACATTAGATTGGTCATCGCCTCTTAATCTCCTTTTGCTCAGACCCATCCATTTTTTGCTGCTCCAGCATCTGTGCCCTTTATGCTTTTTTTCTGTATAGTTACCCACAATACCCTGGATAAATTAATGTCATGACCTCGCTATGGCTATCAGACAGAAAAAAAAGTCTACTATTTTAATAATTGAACGTGCGCGTACAGCAAACTGCCTACTGATAGCCCAGCTTTGTGGACTGCCTCCAAAAGCAGCCTTTGCTAGCTCTGCGAATCAGAAACAACAGATGCAAATACTAGCCACATAGCCCCGGCTCTCTGCCTTGCCTTTTTTTTTTTTAAAAAACCCACCCTTTTCAGTCTGTGCCATTTCATGTTCCCTGCGTCTGTCCCCTCAACGGTTAAAAACATTAGCCTGATGAAATTAGAAGCTTCTGAATAAAAGCACAAGAAGATGAGTGAAAATTATAAATGGTTGCAAGATTCTGGAAATTTATATCCAGACGGTGAGTAGGGAAGAGTACCCAGGTTCAAGTGCTGAGCCTCACTCGGGAGCACCTCTGGGGCCAATGGGACTGCAGACTAGATTAAATCAATAGTCGTCTGAAACGAGATGTCGTAATCAATCAGCTCAATTACCACTGTCATAGATCTGGGCTTAAGGTCTTTCCTGATTCCACTCTTCTAATCATTAACCCTTATACATCCTCAAAACAGGAACTCACACTTGCTCTGCTGCCCTACCTTCAGACCATCAAAGTCTAACTTACTTAGCATTTTCCCCTCTTTTCCCCTTCCCCTATTTAAATAACATAAGAGTGGGTCGGCAAGGAATGTTTAAATGTGAATATGGTGAGATTAGATGCACTCCTTTAAGTGTACCTATTATATATTTGCTGCTGTGCCCTTATATATTATTATTATGCCTCCGGGAGTGGCTGGGTGGATCAAAGACTGCTGTTTAATTAACATTCAAGTCAGCTGTTTCCTTGGAGATTAAAAATAGAAGACTAGTTGAATTAAACTGAAGCTGTTCACTCCTTTCACTAATCCAGTATTACAGAACCCTCCTCCCCTCAATCTAGTTAGAAACAACTCATTTCTGGTTAATCAGCCACCAGGAAAATCCATTTTCAGTTTGAGGGTAAGTGTGAAAAAGTTGGAAAGACAGTTTCGTGTGCATGTCTGAATTTCACAGAATTGCCCATCATTTACATTTTGCATCCACAGTACAGTAAATCCTCATGAAATGCAAGGAGGAAAGAACCATCAGATTTGACTATGAGCAAAACCACTTTAAATTCTTGCCTGTAATTATTATTCGCTGTATGAAGATTAAATGTCAACCATTTAACTTTTTTTTTTTATTCCTGTGCAGACCCTGAAAAGATTGAAAATCTTTTCACAAAAATGCTCCAGCAATTGCCACATATCGTACTCTCACTTTCTCAGGAGGAAAGAAAGAATCCAGCTAGCAGGTATCTGGAATTTTGGTCACTTTAATTTGATTTATTCTGTTGATAGACTGAGATAATAATAGTGAAAGAAAACCCCGATAGATTTACAGTTACATCACTGCCTGCACACACTGCCTCTGTTTCCAAGCAGAACCACACCTTTTTTAACCATAGATCTGCTTCTCAGCTGGAAAGACCGAACGTACGGTGGCCTCAGTCCACACAGCGCCGTGAACGCTGGATAGCACAATTAGCCCCCGTGCCATGGCAGTGATATTTTGGGGAGGAATTTGTGCTCCTAGAAAAGCAAGAAAGTGGGTGTGGGATGGGGCAGCAAATTGGTGTCTCAGGGCAGAGGCAGAGGCCGAGGTCGGGGGTCTGTCTGCGGGGAGGGCACCTGCCGGGGCAGGGCGCCATGCTGTCCAAGACAGGTTATAATTGGAGATCGATTGCTGGATTTAATGACCCAGCTGTTTTCATTAGTTGAAACATAAAAAATTGGCTTAGAAAATGATTCAGCTGCTAGCATAGGTGCTTTTTACAGGCTTATGCCTCAGCCAGGAACGATTGTTGCAGTCACTGACCCCTCACAGATGGAAAAAAATGACCTCAGCTTTGCCTCTTTTCTGGGAAAGATTTAGCTGACAGGGGCATGAGATACAAAAAGAACCTTAATTTTGTCCTTTAGTAATGCTAAATGAATGCACTGCACCAGACACCACCTTAAACTGGCTGAAGGGCACTGCTCAGTTTTGCAGGCAGCAGCTAAGACTGTGAGCATCATCCACAAGGGGACAGCATCCTCATCCACACTGGAAAGATGTAGTTAGTGTCCACGAAGAA